TGAAGAAGTGGTGTTCGAAGAGGTTTACGTTTAAAAAACGTGGCTCTCCCAAGAAATGTCAGTCGTCGTCCTGTTGATATTTGGCTCGGTTGACGGGTGCGTTGGCCGACCACTGGCCTGGGACTAGAAAGCTGACCAGAGGCACCAAGTTTGGGTTTGCCTCCTGGTCTTCCGTCAGCCCGGCCTCCGCCTGATGTTGGCTTGAGCGCCCACGTGGCCCGTACCCAGGCTTGGCAGCGCCCTGGCATCGGCACCGCCCACCTGACTGAGCACGGCGAGAGGGGGTGGCTCTCCGGGTGAGCCGGCGCAGGTTTCTAAGTATAGACCCCAGGCAGCCCCGTGGCTGCTGGTAAGTCTCGGGACACCATTTGATACCCGCCTGGCCCGCCTCCAGCCGCTGCCAGCTGCTGAGGGGAGGGGGCCGCCGTGCTTGAGCCGGCCCACCCCACCTCCTATAGAGAACAGAGCCGGCAGCTTATCGCAGGCGGGAGGGGCCTCGGTGCCCCCCTGACCCTGCTCTCTAATCGTTATGCATGTGAGAAAGAACGACTGAATGCCACCCACTGGAGAGTATACACCATGTCTGGAAGGGATGGGCAGAGGCGGAGCCAGTGTCCTCGGACTCTTGCTCTGACCCGTGTCCTCACTGCCCTGCTTCCGTGCTCCCTGCTCACCCCAGCTCCCAGGGTAACTCCCGAAACGGGCTGGGCAGCCAGGCCCTCCCTTCCTGGTTTCTAGTTCATAGTCTCTCCTTTACACGGAAGCCGGGGTGGGGTGGCAGCGATTCTCCTCAGAACAATCGCCTCTCGGCCTTTGTCCCTTCCCCAGAACTCGGGGGGGTGGGGGTGGGGTGGGGGGGCAGGCCCTTGGCCGGGAGACAGGTGGTGTGTTCCGTGTGTCCGAGGACGGGGGTGCGGCTCTCTTGAGGCCTCTGAGACCTGAGAGGGTTTCAGAGCTGCTCTGCCTGCCAGGCCTGTGAGTTTGCCTTTAGAAGATGGTTAAACTGATCCCCTCCTTTGCTTCCGGCTGAGAAATTATCCAGCAAGTTTGGATGTGAATTACTCTGGTCTGAAATAATAACTTCCTAACTCAGTGTCAGCTCTGCTTGGCACCGTGGGTGGGCAAGTCACATCCGAGTGTGAGGTTTGGGGGTGGCGAGTTGCTGAGGGCCATTGCTCGGGTCAGGGTAGAGGGAGATGGCCGGGCCCCTCAAGGGCCTTCACGGCCAGTGGCCCAGCCTGGCTGTGGTTTAGCTGGGGGCCCTGGTTCCAGCATTCCGGCCTCCTGCTCTCTCCTCTTCATTGAAATAACTCTGGTCCAGAGTCACTCATCGGTTTTGGAAGGCTGGGTGCTTTGTTTCTGGGATGGGGTGCCAGAGCCAGGATGGGTACCTCTCGGAGAAGGCCTGGCCGTCCAGTGGGATGTTGCCAAGGACACTTGCTGCTGGGCCCTCGGTTCTCCCCAGTTGCCTGCAGAAATCAAGCTTTCAAAGTTCGCCGATCAGACATTCGGGAGGCGTGAGAGTCTCCATGGAAGGTCTCCAGGCGGGAGTCTGGGGGCTCCGTGGAACCATTGTTTGGTTGCACAAATTTGCATGAGTTGCCACCCTGTAAAATTTTTATTTTAAAATAAAAACTCAGATTTCTTTCAATCCAGACGATCTGGTGCCCCTCCCAGAGTCTCCCCTCTCACCCCAGCACTGCCTGAGGGCAGAGGGTGGGTTTCTGATGAGCATCACCCTTCCTGCTGCTGGATTTCTTACTGTCCAGTAGAGGCCAGAGGCTTGTTTCTAGTGCACGTGTCTCCATCAAAAAATAGATCCTCATCACCTCTGATCTCACTTCCCAAGACCTGGCCCCGAGGCTGTGTGTGTGAGACCCTCCCTGCAGGTAACCCGCTGGCTGGGGGAGAGCTTCACTGACTGCAAGCACTTTGAAGTAGGAAGGGGGGGTCCCTCTCCCCAGCTCAGCGATCCAGCCCTGCCGGGAGGGACCAGGGATTGGAGAGGGGAAGGAGCACTCGGAAACCATGGCCACAGCGGAGTGTGAGCACTCTCGTTTCATTGATGCAGAGTTCACTCTCCAGAAAGCAATGCCCGTCCCGGAAGAGGCTGGGGCGGCTCCAGTTTACGTGGGACCCCCGGATTGGAATAATGGAAAGAGTTTGAGGAATGGCATTCCTGGGTGTCAGTTCTGGCCCTGCCATTTATTCAGCAGCCTTGCACGAGGTCTCGGAGCCTCAGTAAAATGGGCTTAACACCTTTCCTTGCTGAACTGTTCTGAATGGAGCTGGTATACGAAGTACTGGGCATGTTGTACTGGCAAATGGTGTGTAATAATAAATGTAGTAATTACGTTGGGGACTCTGAAACTTGGTGTGGGTGGGAAAGAGAGGGGTATAAAGAAAGGAAACCAATCCTTTGCATTTTATTTAGATTGGGGCTTGGGTTTCTGGGCTTGTTGGTGTCCATGTCACTGTCGTCGTCGGTCCCCCTTTCCCCCCTCCACACACACACACACACACACACAATCAGGCAGATACAGGAACCTCCTCTTGGAAACCTGCTGAGTCATCACCGCCTTGGGACATGCAGGAGCCTCCGTGAGAACCAGCCCGGGGAGGACAGGACGCCCGGGGAGAGGTGGAGGGCGGTGTCTGCTCTGTGTAAAGGTCACCCACCATTTGTTTGTCCCCTGACAATGCTGCCGACCTGCTTTTCATAGTGAAATGAGGGGAAAGATGTCACCACCGCATCTGCAGTCAGGGAAGATACACCGCTGAACAGAAGTTTCTGCCCGGGGCCGTTATCTCATCAGCTCCCCCTCCCTGTGCTGTTCTTATCTTCCTCTGTGACGCTCTGCTTTTGTCTTCAGGAGGATGTCTGACAACCACGGGTTTGTCCAACCCATGATGAGCTGCTTGGTGCTTTTTACTTGTGTGCTTATTTCTAATTGTTGGCGTGCCTCATTTTCTAAACAGCTACGAGATTCTTGCCCACCACCCTGGAGACTGAAGAATATACAGACAAGACAGAGGCGGGGAGGGGAGGGAAGGGGAGGGGCATGGCCAGACTTCAGGGACCACATACGAGGCCCAGGGCATCATAAAGCCCCATACTGTTGCCCCAGTGACTCAGAGGCAGCATCTTTATCAGGTTCAGTTTTGACACTTTGGGGTAGACTGACAATAGCATTACTCTCTTAAAGTGAAATTAGACCCAGCTTGCTAAAATCAATGAAGCCCAGCTTAGCTTCTCAAGGATTGCGAGCTTCGTATGAATCACTGGATGTGGGATGTCTGGTGTTCTCTGTTATAAAAAATCTGGAAACTATAGAGAGGGGCCAAAGAAGAAAAAAAACAACAACAAAAAAACAACCCCGAAACATCTTACCACTGGTCCCGCAGCTCCGAGCTTTCTCTGTGCTCGGCCACATGGCCGTGCAAGGACGTGTCACCCCACAAGCCACCGAGGCCAGGGACCTGTGCCGTTGTGCTGCGTGTCTGCTCCCGGCTTGGTGTCACATGTGACTCAAAGTGATCAGAGCCGGAGGGGTTTCTTCCCCTTGGTGAGGGGAGAGAGCACAGCTTTGAAGTCAGACCTCGATTCAGCTCATCCCTCTTTGTGGGAGTTTTCTACTGCGGTCTCACAAGTCACCACAAGCTCAGTGGCTTGCAAGCCCCACTGAGTAGCTTACAGTTCTGTAGGGGGGACTGGATGGAGGTGGACTCTGCTTGCTCCCTGCTTATCACCTCACTGCCTGAAGCCCGTGTCAGCCAGGCTGGCCGCTTACCTGGAAGCTTTGGGAAAAAGCCACCTCCAAGGGCATTCAGGTGGTTGGCGGAATCCAGTTCCTGGTGGTCATCAATAAGTCTGAGATGCTCCCTTCCTTGCTGGCCACAGGGGGACACCTTCCCCTAAAGGCCATCCACATTCCTTCTCATGTGGTCCCTCCATCTTCCCAGTCCACAGGGTGTTCTTCTCACACTTCACGTCTCTCACTCCCTCTCTGCTGCCTTCACCTAGGGAAGGTTTTGGCTGAGAATTAACTAAAGGGAGGTAGTAAGGGCCTATATGCTTGTTGAGGGTTAATTTTTTTTTTTTTAATCCTCAACCGAGGATATGTTCTTTTTTTAAATATATATATTTTTATTGATTTTTTTACAAAGAGGAAGGAGAGATAGAGATAGAGAGTTAGAAACATCAATGAGAGAGAGTCATCGATTAGCTGTCTCTTGACGTTCCCTCTACTGGGGATGTGCCCACAACCAAGGTACATGCCCTTGATCGGAATCGAACCCTTCAGTCCCCAGGCTGACGCTCTATCCACTGAGCCAAACCGGTTTCGGCGATATGTTCTTTTTTTTATTTGTGAGAGCAAGAGCGAGAGCAACATCGATGTGTGAGAGAAACATGGATTGCCTCCAGTACTGGCCCCGACCGAGGACTGAACCTGCAGCCTTTGGGGGTAAGGGGCGACGATGTATTTCATGGAGCCACCCGGCCAGGGCAAGGGTGAATTCTTTTCAATCCTATCACTAAGCCAGTTTTGTTTGGAATCTTGTCTGACTCGGATACAGGGCAGCAGAATTGTAAAGGGCAGTCTTTATCTCAAGTGCTGTCATTCTGAAGAGTTGTCATGATTCATCATTTTTCTGGGCAGAGGAATTGAAAGAAACAAGATGGGCAATGTGCCCTGATCCAAACTTTTCAGATATTTTCCTTCCTCCCTCCCTCCCTCCCTCCCTTCCTCCCTTCCTTCCTTCTCTTCCTCCCACCCCCACCCTGAAGCTGAGGCCTCTCCACTTCAGCTGCTGCCTCTGGGAGGGCGGGGCTGGGGTGAGGGCTGGCCGCCTGAGACCTCAGACAAGTGGTGGCCTCGAGCTGGAGGCCTGCCCACCAGCAGCTGGCCCCTGCCACTCAGCGGGGAGGCCGGCGCTGGCCAGGGGGAGAATGAAGAGTGCTCACCGGCTCTCTGCCTGTCCCTTCTGTGCTTCCTCAGGAGATCCTCCGAGAGCTCACGCTGGACGTGCTGCTGGACATGAACGAGGCCAAGGTGAAGGAGACGCTGCGGCGCTGTGGGGCTAGCGCGGAGGAGTGCGGCCGCCTGCAGTACGCCCTCACCTGCCTGCGGAAGGTGACAGGCCTGGGTAGGTAGGGCCTACCCCCCCCCCCCCCCCCCCGAGCACCAAGGCCGGCCGGCCCCGCTGGCTCCCTCTCCCTCCACCTGGGCATAGACACCCGCCTTTTCTCCCCAGGCCCAGCCCGGTTCCCCGGGGCCACGGCCTCTGCTGAGTGGGTGATGGCGGGGTGGAGCAGGTGTGGCCCAGGGGTTCCGGGGTAGCTTGGAAAGGCCGGGGTAGACATTCAGGAAGTGTGTGATGGACCTGACCAGAGACAGAGGCTCTCCCCGAGTCAGAGGCTCAGCCCTGGCCGGTGCTCACACGGGAAGCTCTAAGCCTTTGTTCAAAACCCTAGGCTGGCCTGCCGGGTGGGCCCCGAAGGATTTCCCCTCCGGGAGGACACTTGTTAGGCTCTGTGACCCCTCAGCAGCTTCCTGTGTTCCAGCCCTCTCCCCACATCTTCCTCGGAGGGCTGGGATGTGCGCTCAGAAGGCACATTCTGAGGGGGGCGCAGCCTGAGCCAAACAGGATTGGAGAAATGACACTGAGTTTCAGCCCTGGGCGTGTGCATGGCCGCCCCTGGCGAAGCGTGTAATCCCGGCATTAGATGCATTCCCCGGGAATCAGTTGCTCGCTTTCTAATTCTTGCCTTGGGAACAGCTTCAAACACCCCGACTTTTAACGCTCCCACTACCAACCACACCAATAAGGCTTTGAAACGAGCCTATTGAGTGGAATTAGCTGCATTTTTTTTTTTTTTTCATTATTGGAGCCACCTGCCTTATTTCTGGCTGCCTGAGGCTTAAGGGAAGTACCGAGATTTATATTCTGCTTGATGGTTTTATCAGAGGAGATTGGGCTTGATTTCTTCCCCGGCCCCATTGCACCAAGCCCGCCTCTGAACACAGAGCCTCTGCAGAGAGCTTTACCCGATTCAGAAAACCCGGGCGCGTCAGGCCTCCTGGCAGGTGCAGAGAATGCAATGGCAGAGACACCGTCAACATTCTGGCCCCCAGAGGGGGGCAGACCAAGGAGGAGACCGAGCCCTGAGAGGGGAGGGGAGTCCAAGGACACACAGCAGTCGGAGGCTGAGAGAGGATTGCAACCAACAGTGGTTGGTTGGTTCCCACCTTGTGGAAATTTACAAGTACTTGCCACCTAAGCTGGAATCTTGGGGTAACTTGTCAGCCCCTCCCTTCTGCAGGCCTGAACTGGAAAGAACTGTGGGGGAGCCAGCTGTCAAGGGCTGGCGACCCGTGTGTGTTGGGAAGGCTGCCGGATGCCAAGCTAGGGAGATCGCTAACTTATTAAGCACTAATTTATTAAGCCGGCCACTTGACACGCATGTGGCAACACCCTCTTACGCGGTGGCGGTAAGCTCTTTTAGCAGCTCGAGCATCGGACGCCCCGGGCGAGCTGTCTGCCTTCCACACCTGGCGCGTAGCAGAGCCGCGCTGGGGACTCCGGCCCTGCAGCCTCCGGTGCTTTTCCCACTGTGCCCCGGAGGGGGCCCCTCGGGCGAGCATCTTTAACGGGCCTTTCTCTCTCATTCCATCTCAGCTTGTGGTGCCTCTACATCCCTGAAAGGGTCCTGGTTGCACCCCACCCAAATGGGTCTGCCCTGTGGTGGCCATACCTCAAGGGTACCTGCCAGATTGAGGGCGAGGAGGTCCCCGTGATTACTCTGTCTCTCGGATCATGCAGGCAGAGTCTTCATTGCACCCCGCGGGCTTGCTGAGAGCAGCCTCTTTGCAGCCTCGCTCAGCCGCTTACATCCCATAGGAGCTGGGCCAGTTGCTCAGCCCCCCTGTGCCTCAGTTTCCTCACCTGTAAAACGGAGGTCGTAGCAACACCTCCCTCACAGGGTTGCTGTGAGGACGAAGTGAGTTACAGTCGAGCGCTTAGACCAGAGCCCGTGACACGCTCGGTGCTCTTTTCACTATGAGGCTGTTGCCTGACGGTCACTGTCCACGTCATTTCCCTGTGGCCTCCGGTGCTAAGAAAGGTGAGCGAGGATGGTTCCCCGTGCCAGTGGCCTGTAAGCAGGAACATCGTGCCTGCTCTGCTCCTGTTCTTCGTCCGTAGCACACAGCACCCGTCAGTCCCCAAGCTCTTCCTACGAAGTGGCTCCAGGGCCATTCCCAGAGCCACGGCCGATGGCCGGGTGGTGGCACGCACAGCAAGACGACCCAGCTGCCCTCTCTGAGCTGGTGCAGAGCCCAGTGGTCAGTCTGGAGAATTGGGGGCTTGTTTCTTACCCCTGGACTCATCCTCTGACCAAGAAACATGTCCGTGCTGCCTGTAGATGGGGGTGGGGGTTGAAGTGTAAGTTGTGGCCGCATTCCAGAGGGGCACAGGGAACGCTCAGACGGAGGGGCTCATCCTGCCCAGTAGATTCGTGAAGAGAGTCACCACGTGATGGAGTAGGAGGAAGGGCGTTGAGGAGGGGGTGGGATGCCCAAGAAACCCCAAGAACTGGAAAGGCTAACCTCTCTCCCCCGTACCTGATAAACGTGGGCTGTGTGGGCTAATACCCTTGGGGGAGGAGGCCAGTGCTGTGGTTGGCACATCGGGCTCTGTTCCCAGCCCACCCCTTGCTTAGCTGTCCGACCTTGGCATTGCACGTGGCCTCCCTGCATCTCAGACCCCCCACGCTGAGAGGATCGGGGGAGGCGGGACAGAGCACAGAGCAGAAGGGTTCCGAGGAAGATGTTCATTTTGTCTGGAGTCACAGTCTACCTTCCGGTCCATTCTACTCATTGATAACGATGAGGAGGGGGGTATCTACTCCTCCTTCACAATAGCATGTCTAGATGGGGTCCTTGCTCCCTGCCCCCACCCCTTCAGTATCTGCCCATCTCCTATAGGGTGAAACCTAAAGTCCCCAGCAAGACATCCAGGGTCCCCCCTGAGCTGGCCCCCGGTACACTGACCCTCCGCTTCATCTCTTATGTCTCCCCGGCTTGTCCTGCCCTCTCAAGGCAGATGGGACTCTTAGTTACCAGACGGTGCTGTGTGTTCCCTACTTTCCCACGTGCTGTTCCCTCTGCTCAGTACACCGGCTCCATCCGCTGCTTCCCTCATTGGCTCAGCCCAGATGCCCCCTCCTCTGGGAAGCCCCCTGACCCCCAGGCTATTTAGGGTCTTCCTCCTCTGGGCTCCCTCGGTCCCCATCCGTTTCCTGGTCAGCACACAGCTATTGTGCTGAGTGTCTGTCGCCCTCGTTGGACCCTTCAGGCCAGCAGATGTCCTTTCTATGCCCTGGTACCCGGCGTCCAGCATGTGCCTGAATGAATGGACAGACTGTGTCGTTGAGTTGGAGCCCCACAGAGCCTCGAGGGCTCAGCGGCCTCAGGCAGAGGTCACCGTGGGGGCAGCCGAAGGGCATTCAGAGGCTTCTCTCATGAGCGAGCGGCTGCATCTCTTTGCTAGCCAATTTCCAGGGCAGTTTGCTGTTGGAAGGCGGGTACAGCCCCTTTTCCTGATATTTGAATTTTCGTAAAGTGGAGCTATCTCTGTATGTGCCCCAGCTTCTCTTTCCTAACTCTGAAAAGACCAGTCACCACTTCCCTCTCGGAAGTGTCCCCCTGTGGAGCTGGTTTGCTGGCTCGTTCCCCACAGACCTGCCAGCAGGAGCCCCGCACGAGCTAGTCCCCTGCTCTGGGCTCATATTCTTTCTGTAAAACAGGGAAAGTAGTATCCATGGCAGTGGCCTCACGGTCACTTAGAAAAAGTGGGAAAAGATGCCTGTGCGTGAGAGGCCTTTGTAAACCAGGGGAGGGCTGGTCCTTGAAGCCTTCCATTAAGGAGCTGTGCAGCCCGGCCAGCATGGCCCAGTGGTTTGAGCATCGACCTATGAACCAGGAGGTCACGGTTCGATTCCTGGTCAGGGTACAGGCCCGGGTTGCGGGCTTAATCCCCAGAAAGGGGCATGCAAAAAGCAGCCAATCAATATGCTCTCTCATCATTGATGTTTCTATTTCTCTCTCCCTCTCTATTCCTCTCTGAAAACAATAAAAATATATTTTTAAAAATCTTTTTAAAATATATTTTATTGATATTTTACAGAGAGGAGGAAGGGAGAGAGATAGAGAGCTAGAAACGTCGATGAGAGAGAAACATCGACCAACTGCCTCTTACACACCCCCGCAACCAATGTACATGCCCTTGACCGGAATCGAACCTGGGACCCTTCAGTCCGCAGACCGACGCTCTACCACTGAGCCAAACCAGCGACGGCTATTTTTAAAATTTTTTAATAAAAGGAGCTGTGCCACCTTGGACAGGGTGTTTAACCTCTCTGGGCCCTAGCCACCTCACCTGTATATTCCTCTAGCCTAATGGTCGGCAAATTCATTAGTCAACAGAGCCAAATATCAACAGGACAACGATTGAAATTTCTTTTGAGAGCCACATTTCTTAAACGTAAACTTCTAACACCACTTCTTCAACAAGACTTGCCCAGGCCGTGGTATTTTGTGGGAGAGCCACACTCAAGGGGCCAAAGAGCCACATGTGGCTCGCGAGCCACAATTTGCCAACCACGGCTCTAGCCCCAGCCTCCTATGACTCGGATTCTCTGCCCACAGGAAGGGAGCACAAAGAGGACTTGGGCTGGAGCGCATTGGATGCCCGGCGGGAAAGCAGCTCAGGGCCTTCCACGGACACCCTCTCACCGGCCAGCCTGCCCTGGCCCCCGGGCAGCGGCCAGCTGGGCAGGATGGGCAGCAATGCCCAGGGCCCCCGCTCCGTCTCCGTGTCAGCTCTGCCCACCTCGGACTTCCCAACGCCTGGGCCCAGTGAGGGCCTCACGGACACCTATATCCCCCTGCACGCCAGTGGCCGGCTGACGCCCCGCGCCCTGCACAGCTTCATCACCCCCCCAACCACGCCCCAGCTGCGGCGGCACACCAAGCTGAAGCCGCCACGGACGCCACCCCCGCCCAGCCGCAAGGTCTTCCAGCTGCTGCCCAGCTTCCCCACGCTCACCCGGAGCAAGTCCCATGAGTCTCAGCTGGGGAACCGCATCGACGAGGTCTCCCCCATGAGGTGAGTACTCCGGCCAGGCAGTCGTTGAATTTACAATCCAATGAAAGTTTTGACTACACTTTTCTGATTATAAAGATACTATAGGCTCCATTGGAAAAGGTCATACAATCAACTAATATGTAAGTCTGTACCGTGAAAGGTACCCCTGTCTCTCATTCTACTCCCCGGATTACCTTAACCGCTTGGGCTGAATCTTCCTTGATTTCCTTTGCAAGTTGTGCACACGCACAGACAGACCCACGAGTACACAAAATGAGATGATGCCATGTATCAGTCAGGGTAGACTGGAGTATGCTGCAGTGACAAATAGCCCCCAGGTCCCTGGGTCTTCAAGCAAAGATTTATCTCTTGCTCATGCTACCTGTCCATCATGGGTTGGCCCATTCCAGGTCCCAGGCTGAATGTCCCACTGTGGTAGAGGAAGAAAGCAATGCAGTGCTCTTTCCTGAAAGGTCCACTCACCATTCACGATCCTGCCCAAACAAAGGGACCAGGAAATGTAACTCCCATGTGCCCAGAAGAGAATGGAATATCTGGCTGAAGCCTCTAGGGATGATAAACACCATGCACTCTGTCCTATATAACCTATTTTTTCAACTTACCTTGATACCTTGAGAACTTCGTGTCAGTACTCTTTTATTTTTCTTTAATATGTTTTATCTGTGTTTAAAACAGGTAATAACAGTTACATGGCCCAAATGCAAAAGCTTCGTAGCTCATGTAGTTCATTCATCTTTTTAGGGGTGTATAGTATAAAGTGACCCCCTACTATTTCCTTAGTCACCCAGTTCCCCTTTCTGGAGCAACCAGGTTATGGGTTCTGTATATGGTTATAGTTATCCAAATGCCTCATCTTTGTCTCATTTTCATATCATTCCATTATATAGTTTAACTCATTCCCTCTTGATGGACATTGAGGTCATTGCCATTTTTGTAGCAATTTCTACAAAAATTGCCTTCGTCAGTATACCCTCATGGCCAGAGTGTATCTGGGCATCGCAGTGGGCAAAAACCCAGGGTGTCGTCCGCTTCTCATTTTCCCCACAAAGAGCATCAGGAGCGCTCTGGTCTCATCCTGGCTCCAGGCAGAGAACAGAGCCTCAGGCAGGTGCCACCTCTGCCTCAGGTCCCACCGCTGGTGTGCTGGCCTTGAACCCTGGGGCTCTGAGTCTCTTCTCCACAGAGCCAGCAGAAGGAGCGCTGGCATGGACACTCAGGCCACCCGGCTGCCCTCAGGGAGCCCCGAGGGCAGGCTGAGTGGCCTGGTTCCCCCAGCTCTTTTTATCCCTCTGACAACGTGGCTCAGGGCATGTCCCCACCTGGCCCTGCGTGGAGGTTGGCTTTCTGCTCCACCCCATTCTCCCTGCCCTCCTGCCCCCAACGATTCCTCTCTGGCAGACTGAGCCCTCCTTCTGCCTGGGGAACTCTAATCACCTGCTGGTGGTGGTGAGGCTCAGAGAAGCTGATGTATGAGAGCCATAGATGTAGCTTTGTGCCCACAGGGGGAACCAGGAGGGCACTTCTCACCCTTCCCATTGGGGAACCGTCCCCCCACATCCCCGAGCCATCCTAACCCCACACCCTAGGGGCTCAAAGCCCTCACCCAGCGCCTTGCCCCTCCCTCCCAGGGACGATGTTCTGGGGGACACGTGGAGCCAGCACGGTGCCCTAACCCTGCGTTTTCTCTCTCTCTTTTCTGTCTTCTCCAGGTTTGGTAAGCGCAATTCATTTTCGTCCCCTCTGCCACCGGGAGCGAGCGGTGTGTGTCTCGCTGTCCCCATCGGGGTGGATGCCTCTGACCCTCTCTTAGTGCACCTGGCCTTCCCGTGGTCCAGAAGCCGAGGAGCTGGGAACTGCCCCGGGACATCACGCTAGGACAGGCGGCCCCCACGTGACGAGCTGGCCTCAGCCCAGCCTGCAGCCTCTCTTACTCACAGTCGGTGGGGAGGCCCCAGGGCAGGCCCTCTGCTCCCGGCCTGCCCCACGAAGGGGGGGGGGGGAGTGTTGACCTGCTGGGCTGCGGGAGGAGCCCCGCACTCTCTGGAGGAAGGTGCTACCTTGTCTGGCTTAGGTGGACATCAGTCACCGCCCGCAGACCCCAGCTGAGGTCTCAGGGCCCGGCTCCGCAGGAGAGGGACGTTCTTGGGGCGGGAAGGCACTCGCCTCTGAGTTAGGCCCTGAGAGGTTTGCCCCCTCAGGCGGCGAGGAGGAAGCCCGGGCAGCCTGACCTCCACTCCCTCCCCTCCACCTCTGGTGGGAGCAGATCCTCGCTGTGGGGCTTCTCTCTCCCGAGTCAACGCAGCGGAAACGTGAGCCTCGAGGCTGCTTGGATGGTCCCAGTGGAGACAGATCCTCTTTCCCCCTGAGCCCAGGAGCAGTTTCCCTTTGTCCTGTGCTGAGCAGGCTAAGCAGAGAGATGAGGCGGGGATGCCAGGTACTGGCTTTGCCGAGATGGAGCTGGGCTGGCTGCAGGACCAGCAGGGAGACCTTGCTTCCCCTCCCCCGGGCACAGGCGGGAGTGCGGGGCCCTCACAGAGCCTGCATCCCCAGGGCAGTCTGGGTGCTGGGTGATGCAGTGTCCATAGCTGTGAGGCCGCTTCTCCAGCTGTGGGAAGGCGGGATGAGGCCTGCAGGGCTGGTGTTTCATCTCATGAGGGGCAGGCGATGCCTGGCACATGTGCCCTCTCTCCTCTCTGCGTCCTGTGCCTGTGGCAGACACTGCAGATTCGTCACAGGCTTCACTCAGAGATTGATGATCGAAAGAAACCCCACTTCTCCACCGTCTGTTTCTCTTAGGCCAGTGGTCGGCAAACTGTGGCTTGAGAGCCGTGGTTTGCTACTCTGTTGACTAATGAGTTTGCCAACCACTGTGTAAGGCATTACCCTTACCCAGAAGTTTTGACTCCAGGTTAAAGGCATTAGTACACCATTAAAATGTCTTTTAAGTGTTTTTCCCTAGCAGTGACCGGCAAACTCATTAGTCAACAGATCAGCAAACCGCGGCTCTCGAGCCTCAGTTTGCCGACCACTGTCTTAGGCCGACAGCCTAACCCCATCTATTTATTTATTTGTTTGTTTATTTATTTTTAAATCTATTTTTGTTGATTTCAGAGAGGAAGGGAGAGGGAGAGAAAGAGATAGAAATGTTAATGATGAGAATCATTAATTGGCTGCCTCCTGCACAACCCACGCTGGGGATCAAGCCCGTAATCCAGGCACGTGCCTTGGCCGGGAATCGAACTGTGACCTCCTGGTTCATAGGTTGACGCTCAACCACTGAGCCACAGTGGCCGGGCGACCTAACCCCCTTTTAGACCTTGTGTGTTAATGGCGTGGCTGCTGCCTGGGGTGAACCCCAGGAGGGAGCTGGGAGGAGTCAGCGTGTGGCAGATGTGCTGGCGAGAGCTGCGGGGGGTGCAGTGTGGGGCAGCAAAAGGCCTTTGGTCCCCGGGTGGGCGGAGTCAGCACTCAGCATGCCCTCTCCCGCGGTTGGGTCCCTGGTGCGTGGCCTTACGTGAACCGACACTTAATGAGCACCAGCTGTGTGCCAGGCCGGCTCTCGGGGGCCCGGGAGGGTGCCGTGGCCTTCTAGGGGAAGGGCTGCTGACTCAGAGGGTCCGTATCCTTAAAGCACCGTGCTCCCCACCTTTCTGGTTCCCAGTGTCTGATCATGGGATGAAAGTCCAGAACCTCTTTCCAGAGGGTTCCCAGACCCGCCCATGGGTCCAGTTGAGGACTCTATTCCAGGAGGAGTGAGGCAGTGCGGAGCTGGGAAGGCGGGGTGTGGAGGAGGGAGGGAGGGAGAGAGGGAGGGGGGGGGACAGTTGTGTAGGTAGGCTGCCCCTGGATGGGGGGATTGCTTCCAGCTGTCCCTCCAGCCTGTGCTGCTATAAGCCCTGGGGCTGCCTGTTCCTCTGGGGAAGCCAGGCTTAGGAGGGGAGCCCAGGGTGCCCTCTCGGGGGACAGGCAGAAGGAGCACCCCACAGCCCGTGGCCTGAGACTCCCCCAAAGACCCAGACTGAGTGCCAGGTGAGGCCAGGCCATATGGGAGCTCTCAGCAGCAGCATCAAAGCTCTAGAGGTGGCTGCGGCACAGCTCACCGGCCTCAAACCCTCTGCCGAGGGCCAGGCGGCTCCCACCACCGAACAAGAAGTGACCAGAATGCAGCCCTCGCCAACGGGTGGCCTGGGGGTGCGTCCATGAGACAGTGCCTCTACCCTCACACACTCTGCCTCCTGCCTCTCACGCCGGCCTCCCCCCAAAGCCAGAGCCATACAGGCCGCGGGGCAGCAGTGTTCCTTAGAGAAGCGGCCATGTGTGAGGGTGGCCCCGCCGCCCTGGTCTAGTCCGTCCTGTCCCTGTTTTTTTTAAAAAAATATATATATTTTATTGATATTTTACAGGAGGGAAGAGAGAGGGATAGAGAGTTAGAAACATCGATGAGAGAGAAACATTGGCCAGCTGCCTCCTGCACACCTCCTGCTGGGGATATGCCTACAACCAAGGTACATGCCCTTGACCAGAATCACACCTGGGACCCTTGAGTCAGCAGGCCAACGCTCTATCCACTGAGCCAAACAGGTTAGGGCATCCTGTCCCTGTTTTGATAAATGCAGGTCCGGGGACGTTTCTCTGCCATTCGGTACGTCCCCGTGCCCGTCTAGCTTGCCCTCTCTGACACAGAAGGTCACCGGTGTGGGCCCTCGCCGCAGGGCTTCCTCGGGCTGCCTGACCTCCCTCTTCCCCTGCAGATCTCCCCCACGGCTCCCCGCAGATGGTACAGAGGGACATCGGGATCTCGGTGACACACAGGTAGGCCCGGCCCTGTTGCTCAGAGCTCTTTGCCTCTGCTCCGTCCGTCTCCATCGCCTCTGCGAACACAGCCCCGCACCCACCCGGAGCCCCTGCCTGCCCCCCGCGGGCCACGTGGACGCGCTGGGCCCTCCCCTGCACCTCCTCAGTCTGCCGAGGGCAAACACGGGTCCCGGGAGAAGCAGGGTCCCGGTCTCGGAGAGGAGGAGCCAAGAGCTGCTTCTGGGTCCCACTCGGTAACGTGTGGATCTTGCCACCTGTCCACACACGGGCGCCCCATTGAGTTTATTGACGCTCCAGACTCCGGGCCCCACCCCTGCAGTCAAGGCCGGGCATCTGAGTCTCCAACAACCCCCAGGGGCCGGCACTCGTGTGCTCGGGAGGGTGATGGCCACGGGAGTCTGGTCCGTCCGTCACGTACCACCAGGGGGAGGATCTGCTGGGCCAGGTCCTAAGGCGGATGGCTGGCTCAGAGGGTCTGCACGCTGATCCTGCTGGTTGCTCTCGCCACATTGGCTGCCTAAGAGGTGGCGCCTGTGACCACACCAGCGTGGGATTTTGACAATGATGACTTCGTGGCTGGACAGTCCAAATGGGGGAAGGGGGTGGGGACGGAAGGCAGTGGCCCCTGGGTGTCCCAAACTCCCAGCGAGGGGGTGCCTGGGGCTCTGGGTGGGAACCAAGTCTCCTGATCCCCCTGGGCTGTTTGGGGGCCCTTGTCAACCCAGGCCCTGCTCCCCCGGCCCCTGAGAGTGCTTTTGCGTGTCCCCCACTGCAGGTTCTCCACCAAGTCCTGGCTGTCACAGGTCTGCCACGTGTGCCAGAAGAGCATGATGTTTGGAGTGAAGTGCAAGCACTGCAGGTGCCGGGCGAGGGCGGCCGGGGCGGGAGAGGGGAGCGAGCCTCGCACTCGCTCAGTCACTGTCCCGCGCCTGGATTGTGGGCCTTGGGTCAAGTCAGAGTTCAAAGGCTCAACCTATATGATTCATGATCCCATTCAGCTCACCCAGGAGGGAGCAGCCCCCTGCAGGGAGAGAAGGGAAGCATGAAACAGGGCACTCCCAGAGAAGGGACGCCTCGAGGTGGGCTTTGAAGGATGTGCAGAAGTTTGCTGGGTGGACAAGGAGGAACGTGGGTTCCAGGCCAAGGGAGTGTCTTGAACAAAGGCAGAGAGGAATGGGAGGACCGTCCGGGAACGGTGAGGAGTACTGAAATGGGCCTCATGTTTTAGCACACCAGGACAGCAAATGGGGGTAGGCTACGGTGAGAACAGCGATGGCTTGTGGTACTTCTAGAAGGAAAGAATGCAGATTCTGTTCAAGCCCAACTTTCTTTCTTTTTAAAAAAAAATATATTTTATTGATTTTTTACAGAGAGGAAGGGAGAGAGGGACAGAGAGTTAGAAACATCAATGAGAGAGAATCATTAATTAGCTGCCTCTTGCCACCCCCTACTGGGGATGTGCCCGCTACCAAGGTACATGCCCTTGACCGGAATCGAACCTGGGACCTTTCAGTCTGCAGGCCGATGCTCTATCCACTGAGCCAAACCGATTTCATCCCTCCTTTCTTTCTTTCTCTCTTTCTTTCTCTCTTTCTTTCTTTCTCTCTTTCTTTCTTTCTCTCTCTCTCTCTCTCTCTCTCTCTCTCTCTCTCTCTCTCTCTCTCTTCTTTCTTTCTTTCTTTCTCTTTCTTTCTTACCATTGGGTCCCTGGTAGGAGAGAAAGACAAGGATAGGGAACAGTGTGGGGTGAGTAGGGTCTGAGCCCTGCTTCCTGTCTGCCCTCCCCTTGTAGACAGGACACAGGGCTGGAGTCTCTACTCCCACCCACTTCACCCCTGCATTGCTTTGTGACGCGGGGCCAGGTGCTTGCCCTCTCTGGGCCCCATTCTTGTCATTTATGCATCTAAGAAGATGGTCCCGGGTCTCTGTCCCTCAGGACGGCTCGAAGAATCTGAGCTAGTCGGAGTGAAGAAAGCATGTGGGTTCCCACCAGCCTGTAGGTGATGGGCCTTGTCTGTGTCAGTTGGATAAATCGTGTTTTCCTGGCGGCTCTCCTTCCACCGAGGAAAGGCCAGAGCTGGGTCTGTGGTGGCTCCCGGCTCTTTGGCTTTACATCGGGGGCCCCTGGCTCCTTTCACGTGGGAAGGGTGACCCCTGATCCTAACGCTGCAGCTGCAGTGTGTGGTTGGCAGGTCCCTCGGGAGAACCCCCAGACACAGGGCTGCAGGCAGGACCAGAACGAGGACCCAGCCCTCTCCACTCCGGCCTGCCTGGCTGACTCTCCGACCACATGTCCTTGTGGAATGTGGTGGGAGGGGCTGCCCCCGCACTCCTGGGGCATCCTTTGGGGGTGCAGACATCCTCTGGAGAAGAGAAACAGACGTGGGACCCACCGCGACAGTCAGATGGGTATAAGCTAAGGTGACCAGACGTCCCGCTTTTTATCAATTTGTCCCACGTCCTGAGGCGTTTTAAAAAAAAAAAGTCCCGATTTTTGGAAAGAAATCGTTAAAAAAAAAAAAAAGATTGTTAAAAAAAAGATTTTTGGACAGATTGTTAAAAATCGGGACTGTCCCACCAAAAGCGGGACATCTGGTCACCTTAGTAGAAGCAGACCTTCCGTGCGCTGGGACGGACAGACAGCAGCAGGCATGTGGTCACGCTCAGCAGACAGTATGCTGCTAGGACGGTTCGCATCAGTTCTACATTTTGGGGCTAATGTCTGTGGAGAAATTTGTGGGAATCGGGACGTCCAAGTGAGGTGCACGGGCTGCCAGGCGATGCCTCTCTCTGCGACCCCCATCCCAGCCCCGGGAAGCCGCGTGGCCATCCCCGCACTGACCCCGCCCGCCTCCTCCACCAGGTTAAAGTGTCACAACAAGTGCACAAAGGAGGCCCCCGCCTGCCGGATCTCCTTCCTTCCAAGTGAGTGCTGTGCCCGCCGCTCCTCTGCCTCCTGCCTTCGGGGCCGGTCTCGCGCTCTCGCTCAGTCTGTTCCCTGCTGATGGTTTCCCCTTTTCAGTAGCTAGGATTCGGAGGACGGAATCTGTCCCTTCAATTATCAACAACCCGGTGGTCAGGGCGGCCGAGCCCCATTTCGGAACCCTCCCCAAGGCACTGACCAAGAAGGTACGTTGGGCAGTGGCCTGGGGGTCTGTTGCTTCTGCCCGGAGTGGCCCCCTCCCGGACTCCTCTCTGTGTAGCCCCCTAATGCGGGGTCCAGCCTGACAGTGCAGTCCACAGAGGGGGCAGAGGGGACCCTATCTTTAGTCATGGAGCAAGCTTCGCATTTAGAGTTACATGCGAGTAACCCGTTCCCTGCCCCAAGGCTCCCTTTTGGAGTGAGATTTCACTGCCGGTGAGTCGGGAACTTTTCCCGCGGCGACATCACCTCCGTTTCACAGACGAGGGAGACAGGCACTGGGGCCCCCGTGAGTGAGACGCAGGCCCAGCTCTGAGCCCGCGCCGCAGTCACAGTGAGGCCCCCGGGGCTTCAGACGTAACCTGTGCGCGTGCGTGTCTTTCCGTGGCCCGTGGCCCGTGGCCCGTGGCCGGGCTTCTCGCCTAATGCCCAGACGCCCTGCAGCTAGACAGATTCTCGAAGGCTGTGTCCCCCACGGTGGTTCCCAGGCCTGCCTGGGGCCCCCGTGCACAGGGGTGCGAGGTGTCTGTTAGGTCCTTGGAAGGAAGAACGGACATCTTTATCGGGAAATGTCAGGGTCCCCTGGGCTGACCCCTTTGCGTTTACCCGGGGAAGGGAGGGTCCTGGCTGGGGGCATGGGAGGCAGCCGGGCAGGGCAGTGACAGTCCCTGCCCACTCCCCGTGTCTCGCCTTGCAGGAGCACCCTCCAGCCATAAACCACCTGGACTCCAGCAGTAACCCGTCCTCCACCACGTCCTCCACGCCCTCCTCGCCGGCTCCTTTCCCAACATCCTCCAACCCATCCAGTGCCACCACGCCCCCCAACCCCTCGCCCGGCCAGCGGGACAGCAGGTTCAACTTCCCAGGTACCACACTGCCGGGCTTTTCCGGGGGAGGGGAGGGGCTCTTGGGGATGGGGTTCACATGCACCTTCTCAGCACACCCCAAGAGGCTCAGGGTCAAACACCACAGCCACTGAGAGCACTGGTGGGGAGCCAGGCACTGTGCCCAGCTCGGTTACATTACCGTATTTAAACTTGATTACAACCCTGAGGCAGATGCTATTATTGCACCCATTTCACAGACAGGAACACTGAGGCTCAGAGAGAGGAAGTGACTTGCCCTGAGATGTACTGGACTTGCTCACTGGCTCCGGGCTTCTGAGCTCCCAGGGAGCCCGGGCAGGTCCAGGCGGCCTGGGAGAGGGGATCCTGGCCTCTGTCGCTTACCTGCTCTGAGATCTGAACCAGCCGCCTAAACAGAAGTGTCTGTTCCCTTTTCCATGAAACTAGAGACCCCGTGAAGTTGGAATTCGGTTATCCCCCAGGTGCACTTGACGACACTGAGTCCCACAGGGCCCACTGACCGGAGCTGGCCTCGGACTCTGCCGCAGCCTAGGCTGCCCTGGGTCTGTAGGGCCAGGACCCCTCCCTTTTGGCCAGGCCTGGGGTGTCCTGCCACCCCAGGGAGAGGAGCGGAGCCCGCTTGTCCGTGTGAGGACGGGGGCCCCGGCCTTGGCCGCCCTGGCAGCTCCTGGCAGTAGGTCTTGGCCTTCGGGGCACTTCAGTTGGCAGCCCGGAGGAGCGAGGGGCGCTAGGAGGCTCCAGTTTTCTCCCGGCAGAGCCACGGGCCCACTGCCAGCATCAGCCATGGAGTCCAGGGCAGGTCCCACCTGTCACTCCAGGCCCAGGAGGACAGGCCTACATGGGCCTGTGCCAAGGGACCCAGCTGGGCCACCCGCAGCCCGCAGGGGGCCTGGCACCCTCTCTGGGCCCATCTCAGCAAGGTTCTAGGGTGGTGAGCGACTGACTTTGTAGGAACCTGTTTTCTCTTCTGCTGTCCCTTCTCCTTAGTATGCACGTGGCTGGGTATCTCCTGACACTAATGCATCGTCATGATCCTACCCATCCCCCCGCCATGGAGCGATGGCCTGTTTGATTAACCTCCTCTCCCGTTCCGCTTTGCCATTAACATGCTCTGAAACCGGGCCTTTTGCTAAACCTCCTGGTTTGGCTCTTTCTAAAAGAAAGGGCCCGTTTGAAAAACAAACAGCCGCGGAGAAAGCGCTGTGTGACGTCAGCCAGCGTCTCGGCTTTCGCTGCCCTGCGCTGGGCCCGCATTGTCGGTCGCACTGAGCCCTCGCTCCCTCGGGGACCTGCCAGCTCTCTGCCACCACAGTGTCCGGCCGGGACCGGTCGGAGGGGTTAATTTTGGAAATAAACCCCTGCCGTCCACCACTCTGCTGTGCAGGAGCATGTCAGCTTATCTCCAAGGATAACCCTGGGGAAAGGTTATTTATACCCCATCGTGCGGTACAGCTGGAGAGGTTAACACGCTTCCCAAGGCCCCGGAGCCTCGCAGATGGTGGAGTGGGGGTCAGAGGCTGGCTGTGAGTTCAGGTCCCCGAGAGCCTCCTTCATGAGAGGATTCTCTCCCCTGGAAGGTGAGGGCGAGTCTCAGAACCCTCAGCGCCACGGGCACATGTTTTCAGAATCATTCCTCGCCCCGTTGGTTTTACCCCCCTGGGCCCGTGCACATTCACAGAGAAGCAGGCCTGAGAGGAGGCCGCAGTGGCTGGGGCTCTGCAGCAGGGCGGCCGTGGGGACTGGGTCTCTGAACCCCAGTCCTCAGGGCAAGCCCCTTCAGTTCTGGGAGCTCCTGCCAACACCCGCTTTTTCTCCCAGCTTCTTTTCTCCTTCCTGCACGGGTCACCCTGTCCTGGCCAGGCCCACCGCGGGGCATACCTGCCCCAGCCCCATAACCAGCCCATGCCTGCGTCCTGCGTCCCCTCCCCCTTCGCTTCATTTGCTGTCCTGTGTGTGACTCACCTCCTCTTCTGTTTAAAGCTGCCTACTTCATTCATCATAGACAGCAGTTTATCTTCCCAGGTGAGTCCTCTGCATGGTCCCACTAACTGTCCTGCGCTGTGGCCCCTCTGCCCAGCCCACCTGGGCGCCCTCACCCTCGGCACCTCGGAGGTGCTTGCGTCTCAGAAGAGCTGCCTGTCTGTCGAGGCTGGGAAAGGGGGCAGGGGGAGGAGTAGCCTTCACAGGGGCAGTGCCTTGCTGGCAGGGACCAGCCGTGGCATCCATCCTGTCCAGCCTCTTGGTCAGAAACTACAGGCAACTTGTCCAGGGTCACACACAGGAGGCGGCAGGAACTCATTTGCATAATGCAGGGGGGAGGGGGGAGGACTTCTTGCTGATGCCTTCTGCACATCTGTTACGGTATGCTCCTCCGCGCAAGGACCCGGAAATGGCTTATCTCACAGAAGCGGAAGCAATTTGGGGAGGTCCCCAGGCTTCCCTGCTCAGTGGGCTTCACCTTCCAGAGCCTTGTCGCATGGCGCCATCTGCTGGCCACTTACTGGAAATGCCTCTTTAATGAAGAAAGAAAACTTGCGATAAGATAATCATTCATGGATTCCCTTCCACAAAAATTGTTTTGCACACCTACTATGTGCCCATCTTTGAATTTGACCATATCCCTTCCCCTAAGGCATTTATATGGTCAGTCCTTATTTCTCTAGCTCATGGTTGGCAAACTGCTACTCTGGCCACATGCAGCTCTTTGGCCCCTTGAGGGTGTCTCTTCCACAAAATACCATGTGTGGGCGCGCACGTATAGTGCCATTGAAACTTCGTGGCCCATGCGCAGAAGTCGGTTTTCGGCTCTCAACAGAAATTTCAGTCGTTGTACTGTTGATATTTGGCTCTGTTGACTAATGAGTTTGCCGACCACTGCTCTAGCTGAAGGTGACAAGCACCATTATAAGTAATCTGCCACATTAAACCTTAATTTAGCCATGTGAAGGTTCCGGTTGAGACAAAGACTGAAGCTGATTGTTTCCTAGGTTAAAAAGGCCTGTGTCGAAGTCCTGGCATTTTGGTTAGTCCAGGCTTTTCTATCAGGGGAGTGACTTGGAGCGTTTGTCAGTTCTTAGAGGATCATCCGTAGGGCATGGCAAGCGTGCAGGCTGGCCGGGTCAGGCGCAGGCTCCCCACGCTGCTCTGTGGTTTCATACCAGTTGTTGCCCTGGTTTCCCCCAGGAGCCTGCTGGCTTCTAGGATGGTGTTCAGGGCAGTAACTGAAAGCATTGGGAAGATATGCCTTTACTTCTTTTTTTTTAAAAAATATATTTTATTGATATTTTTTTACAGAGAGGAAGAGAGAGGGAAGAGAGTTAGAAACATCGATGAGAGAGAATCATCGATCAGCTGCCTTTTGCATACCCCCTACTGGGAATGTGCCCGCAACCAAGGTACATGCCCTTGACCGGAATCGAACCCAGGACCTTTCAGTCTGCAGGCCGACGCTCTATCCACTGAGCCAAACCGGTTTCGGCTGACATGCCTTTACTTCTAAAAGGACACGTTTTGCCCTGCAGATGTGTTGTGGGGAAGGAAACTATATTTCTGTCGAGACAGACGTGGACCCATTTTGGAGCAGAATGCAAAGGTTAAGGCAAAGCAGGAGGCTTCAGAGACGTGCTGCCCTCCCACCGGAGTGCTGCGTCTCCCTGAGCCCCACCCCACACGTGTTTTTCTTCCGTGGGAACCTGTGAGCGGTGTTGGGAGGGAGAAACGCCAGGCCCCCCTGGCAGTCTGCGGACACGACGCCGTGGTGCCTGGAGGAGCCTTCGGTCTCCCAGAAACCGGTCTCCAGATGTTGGGCACATGCGTGTGTTTCCTTGATAAGCAGAACCACGGCCGCTATCAGGCTCTTTACATCCGCGAGCTTCCAGAGAGGCTGAGAAGCTGTGGCTCAGAGGGCTTCCCGGGGTGGCCCAGGAGAAAGCCCTGGAGGGAGGGGGAGGGAGGTGTGATGGCCGATGGGGAGGCTCTTCGTTCTAGAAGACAGGAGAAGAAGCGCGATTAGTCCCAGCCACTGCTAACTCTGGTCCGTCTCCTTTGGCGGATACAAGAGGAGGGAGCGAGGGGCCCAGCCGGCCCCGGCTGCCCTCGCCCCATCTCCCCGAGTGCGTTGGCGGGAACAGGAGGAAGCAGGCAGCAGGAGCCGCTAGGGAGGCCCTGACCTTATGGAACACACTGGTTTCACCCCGGGTGACCGTCTCTCAGGTGTCCCTGTACTAAAACTGGAAAAGCCCAGAGCTCCGGGGCAGCCCCGGCTGGTGTGCGGGCTGTGTGTTTCTTCCTCTCCCCTGCGAGCGGCCCACCGGCGGACCAAGCCTGGAAGCCGAGGGGGCAGGGCTCCGGCTCCCACCAGACATTCCCGGCCCCGGTGCCGGGCACCAGGTGCCCCTCAGGAGCCAGCTGTAGGTCCTCCTTCCACCTCCACTGGCCTGAGTGAACGAGTCTGGCCTCCAGCCCCGGCCTCCAAGCAGCAGAGCAGGGGGGCCTGGCCCACATCCCCTAAATAGTGGCCCCGTTTGCTCCCACCACTTGCCTGTAGGAGGCAGTGTGACCCCAGGGGAAAGGTCACTGAGGTTTCATCCTCCTTGCCCACCTGGGGCCCCTCTGGGACAAGCCACGTGCTGCAGAGGCTGCCTCCAGGTTGGCCCCGGTGGGAAGGGCTGGAGAACCCGGGTGTGGCCCCGTGAGGGGCAGCTCGGGGAGCCCACTTCCCTGGGTGTACGCACAGTGCCTTGTACGCGGGCAGGAAGGTGGGCTCATGCTGCGTATTTGCTTTCTGTTTCCTCCAGAGATCTCGGCGGTTACACCGGCGGCGGCGGCCCCGTTCCCCGAGGTGGCGGACGGCACCCGGTAGGCATTCGCGTGCTGTGTCTGCCCCCTTTCTCCTCCGCGGGGACTTGTGACAGCTGGATCCACGCCTCTGACCACCTCCTCCCCACCCCGCGAACCTCTGACCTCCCACGCCGTATGTGGCCCCGTACCCGGGCCGGCCAGATGGCACGCTGCTCGGGTTACGGCACCCTTGAGGCCCCTGAGCTCAGCCAGAAGGGTTTTATTAGCCTCTTATCGGTGCAGTCAACGTTGGGTGGGGCGGTAAACCTGACCCAGGAGGAGGGGGCAAAGGGTACTCAGAGTTATAGAAACTACTCATGCAGCCCTTTCTCAGTGTCAGGCCATGCTAGGCACCCAACTCTGCTTCCCAAGGAGGCGCATCCTCGGTGCACCGATGGGAACGCCAGCTCAGAGAGGTCAAGAGACTGCATGAAGTCACACAGCCAGGATGTGCCAGAACCAACTCTCAAGCAGCATTTCAAGTTCTGTGCTTGTGTTGGAACGAACCTCCATCCTGGCTGTCAGACCGAGAGGGCCTTGGTGGTCCCTGCCCACCCCTCACCCCCGCCGCCCTGGGGTTAGTCTGGAGAAGGCCGAGGCTGGAGACGGGAATTGGGCCTGGTCCCCGGCCTCCTGTTCCCACAGCATCCAGACCGCCTTCCCCATGGGCCAGTGGGTCAAAGGGAGGCTCCGTTTGCTGTGGGTGGCCTTGCCTCAGATGTCACAGGGGAGCCCCCGGCCTGGCTGAGAGCGGAGTGGGCCCACCCCCCCAGGGTCTCCTCATACAAGCCCAGTTTTACCCTTAGGCCCGACGACCAGCCGAAGGCAGACGTGTCGGAGGATCATGAAGTGGAGGTGAGCCACAGGCAGCGCCTCCTCCCTCCTGTCCCTCCCTCCCTCCAGCTCAGCACATCGAGCGGGTTAGATGTGGCCAGATGTGCCAGGTGTGCTCGGCAGGGAAGAAGGATGAGGAAGCCAGCCTCCCTTTGCTTTTCTGTCTGGGAGGCTAACGTCAGCTCTTCCTGCCCATGGTTCTTCACCTCCAGCCCGGAGGCCCGGGCCCAGCCCTGGAGACTCTGCCTCAGTCCGTCTAGAATGGGGCCAGACATCCATTACCAAAGCTCCCCAGCGGATTCCGATTGTAACCAAGGCCAAGATCACTTGACCCTTGAACCACAGTGCCAGCCGAGCTGGCTCCCTGCACTGGGAGCGGGATGTTGTTTTTTTTTGTTTGTTTTATTGATTTTTCACAGAGAAGAAGGGAGAGGGAGAGAGGGTTAGAAACGTCGAAGAGAGAGAAACATCGACCAGCTGCCTCTTGCACACCCCCTACCGGGGATGTGCCCGGCACCAAGGTACATGCTCTTGACCGGAATTGAACCCGGGACCTTTCAGTCTGCAGACCGATGCTCTACCACTGAGCCAAACCGGCTTCGGCTGGGAGCAGAATGTAAACAGACTAAGTCCTGCCCAGAGGAGAGGCAGAAGCTTGTGCTCAAATAGAAGAACACCCAGGAAGCACAAATGTGTTTAAATTCTTCCCCAGGGATTAGATGTCACTCATAGGGAGCTGTTGGCATGCTAGGACCCCTGTATTTCGGACACTGAGGCTCCCTGGTGCCCAGTGACCTGCCTGTTGTCCACACAAGCCAGTGCCAGGCTGGCACTGGAGCCCGGGCCTCCCGACCCTGTGCCGCCCTCCTCCCTCCCCCGATTGGGGCTCCGGGGGATGGGGAGAGTCCGCGGAGCCCAGATCCGCCGCCGCTCAGTTCCTTCCTCCCGCCCTTCCAGGCCGAGGAGCCGGAGGCCGGCAAGTCGGAGGCCGAGGACGACGAGGACGAGGTGGACGACCTGCCCAGCGCCCGCCGCACCTGGCGCGGCCCCATCTCCCGCAAGGCCAGCCAGACCAGCGTGTACCTGCAGGAGTGGGACATCCCCTTCGAGCAGGTGGAGCTGGGCGAGCCCATCGGGCAGGGCCGCTGGGGCCGCGTGCACCGCGGCCGCTGGCACGGCGAGGTGGCCATCCGCCTGCTGGAGATGGACGGCCACAACCAGGACCACCTGAAGCTGTTCAAGAAGGAGGTGATGAACTACCGGCAGACGCGGCACGAGAACGTGGTGCTCTTCATGGGGGCCTGCATGAACCCGCCCCACCTGGCCATCATCACCAGGTAACCGGCACCCCCACCCCCACCCCAGTTCGTCCTCACCGGGGTGCCCGCCTCCGCCCACCTTCCCTGGGGCCCTCATACTTCAGTGGAGAGTGTGGACTTTTTTTAATTTAATTTAATTTTTATTTATTTATTCATATATATTTTTTACTGATTTTTTACAGAGAGGAAGGGAGAGAGATAGAGAGTTAGAAACATCGATGAGAGAGAATCATCTGTTAGCTGCCTCTTGCATGCCCCCTACTGGGAATTGTGCCCGTAACTAAGGTACATGCCCTTGACCGGAATCGAACCTGGTACCCTTCAGTCCGCAGGCCGACGCCCTATCCACTGAGCCAAACCGGTTTCGGCAAGTTGTTTTATTTATTTTAAATTTGCTTTTCAGTTATAGTGGACACACCATATTATATTAGTGTCAGGCGTACAGCATAGTGATTGGACATGGATGCACCTCCCCCCCCCCCCCCTTTGCTTGTTCATCAGAAACAGACATAAGTCACCACCCACCAGAACTCCTGAGCTGTGTGAGGTCACCTGCCGCCACGCCCGGGGACAAAGTGCCAGCCCCGAGCACAACCGCGGGGCTCCTTAGGCAGCCTCACGCGGTGACGCCAGCCCCACAACCCCTACGTCCCAGCCCCCAGTGCTGTCCATCTGTCCGTCCTCCCATCCTTCCATCCCTTACCCACCCAGCCCCATAAGAGATCCGAGTCTGCTTCAGAGGAATCCTGTAGTGACGTCGCAGGGCATTCACTGACGAGAGGTCAGCGTGCTTTAGATGATCCCGAAGGCGCTGGGGCACCGCTGAGGAACTGCCAGCCCATATTCTGGACCCCTCATCTGCTCTCAGAGCCTCCAAGGCTCCAGCATCTTATCTCCTTGGAGACTTTTCTTAACAACTAGCCCCTCCCTCCGGGGGCCCAAGTCACCTTCTCCCTGGATCAGGAGGATGGGCCCACGTTCTCTCTGGGTCCTTCCTCGCCTCATGTCTCAGGGGACCAGGCAGATGGGGACCCCAAAATGCGGGCCCTCATCCAATAACCATGCTGACACCCCTCCACCCTCCTCCCACACTCCTTCGTTGAAATAAAATCTCTGTACTCAGAAAACAATAGAAACGATGGTGAGCATCGTCACAGCGAGCCCCAGAGCCCCACGCTGCCCAGTCATAGCCCCGAAAGGCCAGCTTCCTCCCGCTCTGTTCCGGGTGTGAGTGGGCATGGCCCTGCCTGGCACTCGGAGGGTGGGCTGCTGGAGATCACTGGAATGGAGTTTCCTGTTCTGGGTGGGCGGTCCCTGGGCCACAGGTGGGGTGCACATGAGTTTGTGTTTGTGCCTCCTGGCAGGCCCAGAGAGACGGGAGGCAGGCTTGGTTAAGAACGAGGATTCGGGCCAGGACTGGTTTGGCTCTGTGGCTAGAGCATCGGCCTGTGGACTGAAGGGTCCTGAGTTCGATTCCGGTCAAGGGCATGTGCCTCGGTTGCGGGCACATCCCCAGTGGGGGGGGTGCAGGAGGCAGCTGATCGATGTCCCTCTCTCATCGATGTTTCTAACTTTCTGTCCCTCTCCCTTCCTCTCTGTAAAAAATCAATAAAATATGTTATTTAAAAAATACACAAAAAACAACAAAACAAAAAAAAAAAAGAGGATTCGGGTGTCACCGTGCAGGAGCTGGAGGGAGCTTAGCTCTCCCCACGGCTCCTCCCAGGCTCCAGGGGGCGGGGTCCGGCTGCACTGGCCCCAGACCTCTGCCTGACCCGCCACTCTCCACAGCTTCTGCAAGGGGCGGACGTTACACTCGTTTGTGAGGGACCCCAAGACGTCGCTGGACATCAACAAGACGCGGCAGATCGCTCAGGAGATCATCAAGGTAAAGGGGCGGCCTCCTGCTCTGGCGGCCTGTGTCTCTCCCCTGCGTTGGGGTACCTCAAGCTTGAGACCCCTACACGCCTTCCCTTCATTGGGTTATTTAAAAAAAAAAATTTTTTTTTAAATGGGCTGAGGTCTTCTCTAGCGGCCTCCACCTCCCTTTGTCTAGGGCAGCGGTCGGCAAACTCATCCGTCAACAGAGCCAAATATCAACAGTACAACTGTTGAAATTCCTTTTTTAGAGCCACGTTTTTAAAACTTAAACTTCTCCTAACAGCACTTCTTCAAAATAGACTCGCCCAGGCGGAAAACCGACTTGTGCGCATGGGCCACGAAGTTTCAGTCGCACTGTACATGTGCGCCCGCCCGTGGTATTTTGTGGAAGAGCCACACTCAAGGGGCCAAAGACCCGCATGTGGCTCGCGAGCCGCAGTTTGCCAACCACTGCTCTGTCTGATTCTGCCTCACACTGGTCCTTTCTGGCCTATTTACTCACCACCTCCCGACCCCAAATGACTTCAGAGCCAGAGAGATTTCGTGTAAAGGGTGATCTTGAGTGGGAGAACAGGAGGTGGATTTACACATGCTTCTTTCTGAGCGGGCGGGGTGGGCATTTCAGTCCTGGCATCTTGCCCCTGTTCCCAAGGGCATCAGGGTGCACGGGAGTCCTGCGTTTGGCATTAGAAGACAGCTTTGATCTTGAAGCGGTCATGCCAACGTCAGGTCACCCACGTCCCCTGCCTGGCCAGCCAGTGTTCAGTCCACACAGAGCCTTGGTTAAAAAGCACCCACTCCGCCCTTTTGCAAGTCAAATGAGAAAACTGAGGCTCAGAGAAGTCGAGTGTCCGAGGCCGCACAAGCCAATTAGAATCTGAGCTGAGATGGAACGTGGACCCCAGATTTCAGCCATTATTCCAGAACTCCTATGACAGCACAGATGCCGGGACCTCCCGAACTCGGGGACACCCTCTGTGGGAATTCCTCTTTGTCCCCCCAACCACCCCCCAGCCCTTGTCCAGTCTTAGGGTACAAGCCGGCTGGTTAAAGCCTGGTAGAGGTCTCAGAACACATGGATTTTGTATAAGACTTGGCACGGATGGTTTCGTCACGCTTTATATACTTCCTGGCACCCAGCTCCCCACCCACCTCCCTCCCCGTGTCCCACGGTATCTAAGTCTGAGGACAACACAGAGGCATGGAAAGGGCACAGATGGACCAAAACCAAAACCAGATCGCAGCTGCGTGGCCTGGAGCAGGTGACCTGCTCTCTCTGCGTTGGGTTTCCTCATCTGTAACATGGAGACAGTAACACCCCATGAGATTGTGAAGATGGAGTGAGGCAATCTGGGCACGGCATCCAGCTCGGTGCCCGGCCCCGGTGGGCACTCGGTCATGGTCCCTCGCCTCCGCTCCCCTGACGTGGGGCTCGCTGTCTTCCAGGGCATGGGGTATCTGCATGCCAAGGGCATTGTGCACAAGGATCTCAAATCCAAGAACGTCTTCTATGACAACGGCAAAGTGGTCATCACCGACTTCGGGCTGTTCGGGATGTCGGGCGTGGTCCGAGAGGGGCGGTGAGTGGGCCTTGGGCATCCGGACGGACCAGGGAGGAACTGGGGTGCTGGGTGGGCCTGGGTCCCGCTGGGGTCCGGGCACTCCTGCTCCTGAGGAGCAGCCCTCCCTGTGGGAAAGGCCAGTTTGCCTTTGTGGTTCCAGTTCGGAATCAGATTCGGATGACCTGGGGGCCCCTTGTACACTTGATTCTCAGGCTGACCCCTTGAGCCTGGGTCCCCTCGCTCACATTTGCCAGCTTGGGCAGGGGACCAGGGTTCAAATGTGAGGAAGGGTGTCAGGTGTTATTTCCCCAAGGGGTGGGTGGGGGGAAAGCTCCTCTCCAAGCATCTGGGGGACCCCTGGCCGGCAGGGTAGCAATGGAGCTGGAGAGCCAGCCCCAGGCCCGGTGCTGAGATGCACAGCAGGTCTGATTTCCCGCCCAGGGAGGTGCTCCAGCCTCCCAGGATGTGCTCCGAGAGCCAGGCACCTGCCAGTGCAGCTGCCTCCCAATCCCCCTTCTTGGCCGGCTCCCCTAGAAAAACCAGCCACCCCTCTTCTGTTACATTCCCCCCAAGTGCCCGCGCCTTGGCAAGTGCAGGCTCAGCGAGCTGCCTCTCGGGGCCGGGCGTGGGTGGTGCCAGGCGAGTCTCTGAAAGGCCTTGTGTCTGTGCCCCGGCTTCTCCGCCACCAGGCGTGAGAACCAGCTGAAGCTGTCACACGACTGGCTGTGCTACTTGGCTCCTGAGATCGTGCGCGAGATGACCCCCGGGAAGGAGGAGGATCAGCTGCCCTTCTCCAAAGCTGCTGACGTCTACGCATTCGGGTGAGGAGGCCCCCCTGCTGGGGCTCTGAGGCTGGCGGGTGTGTGTGTGTGTGTGTGTGTGTGTGTGTGTGTGTATGTGTGTGTGTATGTGTGTGTGCGCGCGCGCGCTTTGAGCCTGGCTCTGCTGCTTGTTGGGTGAGTGGCTACATTCCTGACCTCCCTTTCCCTGCCTGTAAAGTGGAGAGTAAGGCCACCTCCCCAGGAGGATAGTTTCATGAGGACTAAGGTCTTACCCATTGTCCATGAGGACGCTCACCACAACTAAGAGTTGTCCCCCTGGGTCACCTCACTCTGGGATGTCCTGCCAGCAGCCTCTCGTGCCCCCGGAAACTGAGCAGAAGAGAAATAGAGAATACAGGGTGGGGCAAAAGGAGGTTTGCAGCTGTGAGTACATGAAGCAGATTATTCTTATATTACTGTTTATTTTCCAGACGAATAACTGCAAACCTTCTGCCCCACCCTGTCTAATGTGAGCCAGACAGGAAGTTTTCTCTGAGCGTTAAAAAAAGGAAACCCAATGAAACCCCTTTCGGACATCTATTTTATTTAACTCAGATTCTCCAAAATATTATCACTTCAACATGTAATCAAAAATTAAAACGTAAGGAGCTGCCTTTCCGCACAAAGTCGCAAAGCCTGGTGTGTGTTTTACACCTACAGCACACCTCGCCTACAGCACCCCTCAGGTCCACACCCCCCGCGAGAGTGGCTCAGTGGCCCCCCATGGACAGTGTGGAGCTAGAAGAGAAGGTCGCCGTCCAGATCAGTCAGAGATGCTGAGGACTCACCCAGAAATCTCTTGAATGTCTTTCCCTCGGTGGTGGTCTCCCCACACCACCTCCTTTCTTATAATTTCTGAAGCACCCATGCGTACCAGGCACCAGGTTTGCCATTTTTGTTGCTCCTCAAACAACCTTTGGCCGTAGGCGTTAGGCCCCCTGAGGTTGACAGTTATACCAGGATCTCTGCTCAGAGCCTGAGCTGCCTCAGACTTCCCAGCTCAATGGAAGGGCCACAGACCCTCTAGTGCCCGGGAGGAGCCTCCAGGACCTGGTGGGGGAAGCCTGGCGGGTGGAGAAGGCTGGAGAAGGATCCTGGAGCCTCTGGTTGGGCTCCTGGTGTTGGCAGCAGGAGCCCCGGGCGTGAGCTGGGCTGAGGGGTCTAGGAGCTCACGCTGCACGGATGGTCTCCACAGGACTGTTTGGTATGAGCTGCAGGCAAGAGACTGGCCCTTTAAGAACCAAGCTGCAGAGGCCTTGATCTGGCAGATCGGAAGTGGAGAGGGAATGAAGCGCGTCCTGGCCTCAGTCAGCCTGGGGAAGGAAGTCACGGTGAGTAGCCACCTGTCCGAGGAGAGGGAGGGAGGGCCGGAGCGAGGGCGTGGGCACCTGGCCTGGCTGCACTTGGTTCACACCTGAGCAGGGGGACCTGGGGCAGATGTGTGCCAGGCAGTCCCATTTGCTGCTGGCTGGAGGCCCGTGTCCTTTATTACCCCACGCTTATCTTTTGCTTAAGAAAAAGCTTTCCTGCCCATTGGTTGAGTTCAAACCTGCTGTGTTCTGGGGTCAACTGGAGTCTTTTCATCTTTTCTTCAGTGAGTCTCTTGATTTGGGCCCTGATAGTTGGAAGATTTCTATTTCCCTCCACTTTCTGAGATGATTCCTTGTTTATGGCTTTTCTAGTTTCCTGCCCTAAGGGTATCTTTGTTTCCCTGTGGGAACTCCCACGAGACAGAATTTGGTCATGAGTTTCCGTGTCTTTTACCTTCTGTCCCATTTCCTTCCATCCCTGCCCAGAGCTGGGTCCGCAACATGGGGGGTTTCCATGATCTTACTTTCTACTACTTCTACCTAAGGTTTCATTTTGGAGGCTACGTGATTCACTGCAAGCACTCCTCCACTTTGTCAGTTACTTTCTTTATGGCGCCCTGGCCTTGTTTTATGGCTAACCCTTCCATGCACACACGCACCGTTTCCTCAGTCAGTCTTTTTAGGGTCCGTTTATCCTGGGTCCCGGTTTTCCTAACTGGTAGCCACCCCATGGTCTCGGTCGTAGTGAGTCTAAGTTCCGTCACCACATGGCACATCAGCCTGATGGTGCGTGCAGGATGTTTTCTCACAGGTAGCTCTGAAAGCTGAGGGGGTGGGGGTGGGGGTGTGCATGTGTGGGTCCCCGAGATGAGGCAGCAGATCGCCACCGTGGGCAGGGCTCTGCTCTGGGGCCGCTCGGGGCTGCTGTGCTGCCCACTCCCATTGGCTGCCCCGCATGTGACCCTTGTCACTCAGCCTCCGTTCCTGTGACGCCGAGGCTCCCACCTGTCGCCACCCCCCCTCTGCACACATTCAGAGCATCTTGTGTCTCACCTGTCAGCACACCGCCTTCCGATTTCCATTCTGAAAACTGGTGGCTTCCTTGCCGATGTCTTTTCTGTGACCTGCTATTCAACTTTGTTACGTTATTCCAGGGAGGTCTGAGAAGGAAGGAGGGGAGCCCTAGCTGTTTTGGCTCAGTGGATAGAACATCAGCCTGCAGACTGAAGGGTCCTGGGTTCAATTCTGATCAAGAGCACATGCTCGGGTTGTGGGCTCGATCCCCAGGAAGGGGCATGCTGGAGGCAGCCGATCAGTGATTCTCTCTCAACCTTGATATTTCTCTCTCCCTTGCGCTTCCTCTCTGAAATCAAAAAATATATATTTTTTTAAAAAAGGATAGAGGGGAGATGGGTTTGTGCGTTTCTATCTGAACTGGAAGCCTGGGCGCTCTTCTGAAATTCCAGTCATGGCAATGTCAGCAGGAGGCTCAGGGACCACCGGCCGGGAGTGCAGAGGCCCCAGCTCACCTTGCTCCCTCCCAGCCGGCTCGCACCCTCTAACGCCGCCTCTGCCCGCAGGAGATCCTGTCCGCCTGCTGGGCTTTCGACCTGCAGGAGAGGCCGAGCTTCACGCTGCTGATGGACATGCTGGAGAAGCTGCCCAAGCTGAACCGGCGGCTCTCCCACCCCGGGCACTTCTGGAAGTCTGCTGAGTAAGTACCCCTTCTGCGGCCAACCCCGCCAGCCAGCCTTGGTAGCCGCGTGTGGGATCTTAGAGGGCACCGGGTGCCCTGTGTGCCCAGGACTGTGGCAAACACCCAAAACACATTAGCCGGAGGACCTCGTTCCTCACCAGTGACACCAGGGTCTCCCTCACCATGTCTAGTCCGGAGACTCCTTTTGTCTCCACTCTCCTCTGAAAACGTCCCTATCACTGTCCTCAGAGAGGTGCTGACGCCGGGCCCAGCCAGGCCCAGACGAGAGGAGGCTGCTTAGGAGAGGGCCACGTGGGCTAGGACGTCAGAGCGACGTGGGTGCAGAGCATCACCAAAACTAGCCAAGTGGCCGTGGCTTACACTAGTGCAGACTCAACACAGAGCTTTCTAGTCCTCCAGCCGGCCGCCTGGCACGGGGACCGCGTGGCCTGGATTTCCGTGGCACTTGGATGCCAGCAGCCTATGCCCGCTTCTGTCTAATCGTGCCCCGTGCGATGCAGGGGTAGCCTCCACCCGGCTGTGGAAACCTCAGCCATCTCTTCCGAGTTCTATCTCATTTTCTTTTTCCTTTGTTCCCCTGGCCCGCTCTGCCAGAACTCTGCATGCCCCTACCCCCCCCCCCCCCTCGCCCTTAGACACTGAGACTCCTTCCCTGTCTCAGGCCTCAGCTTCCAGAGCTTTCACAAGTAGGGGGTTGGGCAAGATTGGAGGTCCCCAAATTTGAAAAGGCCACACGGGAAATGGTTTAGGCTTTGCAAGCCACGAGGGGAATCCGGGTTACGGCTCCTGCGCTGGGATCGGGGCAGTGACGCCGCCAGGGAAATCCGTGTGCCCATGACTCCGCGGGGCTGTCGGGTGTGGCTCCAGCCACACTTTCCTTTGGGCACTGAAATGAGAATTTCGTGGGATTCTTACACCACATCTTGAGATAGTCTTCTTTTGATTCCCACGCTCCCCAACCGTTCAGAGAGGTAAGACCGTTCTCAGCTTGTGGCTGGTACAGGAGACACGGGTGGCGGCCCGTGTGTGGCTGGACCCCGGGACAGGATGGATGGCTTAAAACTTTTCTGAAAGAGAAATCTCCTGCAGCCCCGACCTATCAACAGATAAAGCGGGCCTGCTCTCCGGGGAGTGGGGTGTCTGCCCGACACCCGCAGCAGCCCCAGGGCCCCTGCGGTTGCATCCCCTGGCAGCACCTGAGCTCACCCCTGCTGCCCAGGTGTGTGGTGGCAGCAGCTCTCCTCTCATTCTAAAGAGCTCTCCTCTTCTCCCCTGTCTGCATCCCACTACCTTTCGTATTCTAGAGAGGCTGGCAGGTCTCTATCAGATGTTCTTAGTTGTTTTTGTGTGTGTGGGGGTTTTTTTGTGTTTTTTTTTTTTAAATAACTTTAAAATAGTCAAGAGCTTTTTGTGGTCAGATTTGGCTTACACATGGTTTGTTAGCCCCCCTCTTGAAAACAAACCAGACCGACCGGCTTCAAGTTGTAGGTGAGGGGAGGCCCAGAATGGGTCGCCGACCAGGAGACACAAGTAGCCAGTTGCAGGATGGTCTGGAGCAGTGGTCGGCAAACCACAGCTCGCAAGCCACATGCGGCTCTTTGGCCCCTTGCGTTTTTATTTTTAGCAAAGGCCAGCTTAGGGGTACCCTAATTAAGTTAATAACCATGCACCTACCTATATAGTTTAAGTTTAAAAAATTGGGCTCTCAAAAGAAATTTTGATCGTTGTGCTGTTGATATTTGGCTCTGTTGACTATTGAGTTTGCCGACCGCTGGTCTGGAGGAACGGTAGTTGGTGGTGAGAGAATACTGTGTTTTAGGGTGCAACATTAGGTTTGCTGTTCTGTTCTTAAGATGGGTCAGAGTCTGATACAGATAGGCGGTCATGTTGCATTCGAGGTGTGGGCTTACCCGGCCATTGCTAAGTACTTGCTACACCCCTGCCCTGCGGGGTGCAAAGGATTGTGTGACCAGACAGAAGGCCAAGGCCGGGCCTCAGCCAGCAGGGAGTTCCCCGTCCAACTGGGGACACAGACAAGCAGACAGACACTGCACCTCTGCACAGTGGACTCTGTCCTGTCGCCTCTGTGTTCCCAGCTCCCAGCACAGTCCAGGAACACAGCGGTGGCTCAGTGAACAGGTGACGGGTGAGTGAATGAGTGAGGGAATAATTATAATATGCAAGTGCTAGGACAGAGCACAGCCTCTCTGGGAGCCTGGCCGGCCTGGGCCCGCTCTGCCCACCCAGGGAACTAGAGGAAGGATCTCCAGCAGAGAAGTCCTTGGCGCTGGGCTTTGACCAGGAGCCTTCCCAGCAGAGGCCAGGAGCCTGGGGTTCCCCTGGACTTGCAGGAAGTCCAAGGATCTGGCTTGTCCAACCTCCGGCAACTCAGTTCACAGCCTAGGCCCCGGTTTTCTCATCTCCGGAAGAGGAAGCCGTGCTAGGTGACTGCTGCATTCAGGAGGTGGCTGCAGATTCCCTAAAGACCCCATAGCCCCACGGTCTCATTCCGCCCATGGAAACTGGGGCACAGAGGGGCGCTGTTTCTAGCCTCAAAGGGAAAGAATGCCAGCACTCCTCCAACCCCACGTGACCTGTCACAACTTCCTGTTCATGACTCTTACTTCTACACACTCAGCCTCTAATTCTCCTTTTCTTTCTCTTTTCCATCGGTTTTGTTGCTTTTTTTTTTTTTTTTTATTTCGGGGGGTGGCTGATGCGATGGCCTGTCCTGTCATCTCTCCCCCTCTCCCCGCCATCCTGATTCCTGTGGCTCCTCTCCTCCACCTGCCACACCCCCCGACCGACGGCATCGCCTGCGGACGTCGCTCCTCCCACACCTGGCACTGGATTGCGGGGCATCCCCAGCCGCTGGCGGAGCCGATACTACGGGAAAGGACGCGACGGCCACCCTGACTTTAAGAACCCCTGCCCCGTTCTGGAGGAATAGTGTGTTCTTTCCCTCCCTCTCTGCCTGTGTGCAGCCGCCCCTCCGCTCACCCCGCTTCCTGCCTGCCTGTGTCCCCCTGCCTCATCTCTGGGTGTGTGCTTTTCTCATAAACCAAGGCGATGTTCTTGCAGCTGACGCGGCCACCCGCGGGGCCTCTGCAGGCCAGTATGTCTCTCGCGGTCCACGCTGTGGCAGGTGTTGGCTTGCGCCTGGGTGAGAGAGGGCCGAGGTCATAATCTGAGACCCCAGGGTGCCCTCTGGCCAGAGCTGACAGAAGAATGCAACGAGCAGAAGCAGTGAGCGCCAAGAAGCCCGCCTCTATAGTCCTGGGCTGAGGGCAGAGGGCCCACTGCCAGCCTCTGAATCAGAGCCTGTGACCCGGCCCCGGGCAGCTCAGGCAGGGATGGTTCTTTGTCCATGCTGCTGCCATGCCCGGGATGGAACAGGAGCGTCCCTTCCTCTCCCTGACCTGCCCCCGCCCCGTGGGGTCCGGTTCTCACTCACGCTGCTCTCCCTTCTCTCTCCTCCCGTAGGTTGTAGGCCTGGCTGCCTCGCATGTGCTGGGGCTCTCTCCCTCCTAATCGTCACTCGGCACCTCGACTCCTGCTGCTGCTGCTCACACGCAAACCGAGTCGCGGGCACTAACCCGGGGGACGCCACCTCTGCCGCTCCGCCTGCTCTCCTGAGGCCTCCTCCTCTTTTGTTTTGTTTGTTACTAAAACCGGCCCCTCCGTCTCCGCGGCCTGCGTGTGCCTGAATAACCGGTGTCTGCGAGGACCCCCTCACCCAGCCCCTCCCGGAAGGCCTTGGACGCGGCTTCAGCCCCTCTAGCTCTTCCTCTGCGGGTGCTAGCGTGTTTGGTCGGGCGGCCCCGCCTCCTACTAACAGCGCAGTGAGACCTGTGCCCTCCCCCCGCCCTGCCAACCTGCACGCTGCCAACCCCAGCACGTCGGCCTCCCCGTGGCTGGGTCCAAAGAACAGGGGGAGGGGACCTGCTTGGCGGTTAACCGGAGGGATCTCGTCCAACAAGGAGCGGGGCGATTTCAGAGCTGCCCCGGGCCGTCCCCTCTGCAGGGCGGCCGGTGGGGGGACCCCCCACGTTCTGTTGCCGTAGAAGGCGCCAGCTTGGAAGGACTGCTCGGCAGCGCTCAGGGGTGTCGTCAAAAGCAGGGGGCCTGTCTCCAAACTGTTTCGCTGATGAAAGCAAAGCTCCTGTCCTCTCCCCCACCACCCTTTACATCTGCCTAGTGCAGACTGCAATTCCCAGGCCCCGAGTCAGCTCATCAGGAGAGTGGTTGCAGGGCACCCAGAGTCCCTGCAATGTTGCCAGATTCCTGGGGGCCCCCCACACCCAAACCCGGTCTCTGGAGGCTGGCTTTCAAGATGGCCCTGATGTTCTCCAGCGTGTGAGGCCCGTTTCTCACAGGAACTTGGGTCGGGTGTCCCTTCTCCCAGTTCCTTTGGGAGAATGAGCAGCTCCTGGGGGCTGTGAGATGCGCCAGCAGCCGCCCTTCAGGGGACGCGTGGCCGAGGCTGGGCTCCCGGCACGACCTGACCCGGCACGACCAGGAGCAGCTCTGGCGAGACCACAGGCCGGGCCGTTGGCCGTGGACTCGTTCCCCCTTCTTGGTGGGCTGGGTCCTCGGTGAGCTTCCGGAACTGGCCCCCTCCTTAGCGCGGGTCAGCCTGACCTGGCCGAGGCCGGCGGGGCGGTGACCCTTGTTTCTGTTCCTCTTCGCAGCATTAACAGCAGCAAAGTGGTCCCCCGGTTTGAGAGGTTTGGCTTGGGCGCCCTGGAGGCCAGTAACCCAAAGATGTAGCCAGCTGTGCGGTTCCCCCGCCGAGCTCCTCCCCTTTCAGTGTGCCTCCGAAACACCCGCACAGCCACCGCCACGGGGAGCAGCGCCCGCCCAAGCGCCACGAGCCAGGAGTGTGCGTGCTGGGCTCGGACTTGTTTGCGCACAGAAAACGCTCGGGCCTCGGAGACGGAGCTGCACCTGCTGCTTCTTAAAGTGACAACACCAACCACCAAACCCGTCCCCGACGGGCAGCCCATGTTTACATGTACGTTTCCGCGGAGCGAGCTCCACGTGTTACGATAGGTAATAATAAAGGCGGGCTGTGCCCCGGTGCGCCGGCCGGGACAGCGGCCGTGGTGTCCCTGTGGACAGTCCTGTCACAGGGCAGGGAGCCCGCGCTGGGCCGGAGGAAGGAAAGCCTCCTGGTTGTGGATGTTTCGGAGGCAGGATGGGGGACCACAGGCCTGACCTCGCCTCTGCTTTGGCTCTAAACCCTGTCAGGGGGGAAGCTCGCTCTCGGCCGGGATCTCTCCCCTCGTCCCTTCCTCCTCTCGCAGAGGAAGCCCTGGCTGGGAACCCAGCTGGAATCCGAGGGCCCCCAGATCCCAGAGAGCTGGGTTCACCTCTGACCCCTGCAGCTCCGCCCATCCCAGCGGGACACGCAGAGACGGATCACATCTGGATAACATCTGCACGGGTCCGGCGGCTCCCGCCAGGTTCCACCTTCTGCAGAGGCGTTTCCTTCGTGCCACTGGGGCGGCAGCGGGGGCCTCGGCTTTTCAGGCTCCCGAATCCCAGAGCCAAGGCTGTGTGTGCCATGAGGGCTCCGCGAGGACAGGGAAGGTGCAGGGGAAGCAGAAGCAACAGTGGGTCCCTGAGCCCCCCTCCCAGCCACAGGGTGACCTGGCTGGCCCCTTAGAAACCCATCCTGTCACCCCAAGGCCTGGAGCCGCCCATCTCTTCCCTGGTCCCGGTCCTCTTAAAGCCCCTCAGCCCACTCCTGCTCCCCTGCTGTCCATGTGCAGAGCACCCCCCCCCCCCCCCCCCCCGTCTCCAGAGCCTTCCCGGCACCAAGTCAGGCCTCTGTCTGACCCGAAGGACAGCCCGTGATGAGAGAGCCTCCTGCCCGTCTCCCTTAGAAGCTGCCGCCTAAAGAGACACGTTCCGTGGGCGTTCTGTCCTCTTAGGCACCCAACCAGCAATGACCAAGGTGGGGAGAGCGGCCGTGAGGCCGCATGCAGGCCCAGAACCTGTGACCGTGCCTGAGCCAAGATGGAGGGCACGTGGTCCTCCCACCCCTTTCATTCGTGCCCCTAGCAAAGCTCCCAATCTTCAGAGCAGCCCCCGGTCTGGCCAAAATGCCATGTGAAACGGGCCTCTGCCCAGACCCCTGGGCTGTGGGCCCCTCGCCAGCGTTCTGGCTGAGCCGTGCTTAGCTGCGGGCAATGCAAGGTGCCCGGCTCCCACTGCCTCAGCCCTCCAGACGGGAGCGCCTTCCCAGTTAGGGTGTGGGAGGGAGGCGGGAGCTGGAAACCAGTGGCTTCAGCTCATGTGGGGCTGTCCTCTGGGGGGCTGTCCGTTTCTCCCCATCCTGCCTTTGGCTTCCCCCATCAGCCCTCTACATGGTTGTGGATGTTTTTTTGGGGGGCAGCATGGGGGACCACGGATCTGACATCAGGCCCCACCTAACATCACATAGCGTGTGGGTGCTGCCTCGCAGCTTCCCCCTCTGAGCCCGAGGCCATGCTGGGGAGCTCTGGGGCTGGACAGCAGCTGAGCACCCGGGGCCCGGGGCCTCCTCTCCCACCAAAGTCAGCCTGCGTTCTGCTTTCTTCTCACGAGTGTGACACTCGTGGGTCAGCTCAAGAAGCTTTCCTTGAGCAGCTCCCGTGCCCTGTGCACGTGCTGGGGGCCTGGTGATCGGACAGTCACCGTCTCCTCCCTGATGGAACGAACGGTCTGCCAGGAACCCCACGAGTGTCGCTGAGGGTCTGGGGGCAGTTCTCCTCCAAGGCCCTGGGCAGCCTCCCCACGCATAGCCTGCACTTCCTGTCATTGAAGAGAAACACGTGGGAAGCCCCCACGGGCCCCTGTTCCCCTCGGTTTCCATGACTGTGAGTGAGGTTAGGAAGGCGTGCTGGCCCTCCGGGCGCGCTCCCTTCCTGCCTTGGAAACATGAAGGTCGGCAGATACTGTGAATTCAGCCTCGTGGCCAACTGTGAAGGGAAGGAGAAGCTGGGAGGCCTCCTTGGAGAGCGCTCTGGGAGCTGCAGAGGTCCCCACGGGGTCAGAGCGGAGCCCAAGCATTGGCCTTTCAGGCCGCCCCACCCCCCCAGTTCCAGCCTCACCTCCAAAGTCCTGGGGTCTGTGTCCCCACTGCCTTTAGCCACCAGAGCCGCAGCCATTGGGCCTCCATCCAACCTGAGGTCCTGAATCCCAGAGTTCCCTGTTCGTCGTGAGCAGTGCAAAGTGACCTCTCCACGTCACCAAACTAAAGACGGGCTGGGGGCCCTGGACTCTGCCGCTCCCAGCGGTTCCTGCGACCTCGGAGGGGCGTGGTGCCCTGTGAGCCTGCGTTCGGTGTTGATTTGGGGGCAGGAGGAGACCTAACTGTGAAGCCTGTGGGATTCGGCGACGTCAGCGGGATTTCACCAGCGCGCACCCCCTGTGTCTCTGGTGGCCGCCAGGCACACACTCGCTGTGTTGAATGTGATGTAAAATTTGTACAGGAGAAGTTTTTATATTTTCTACCAACCGCATTTGTCTTCCAGAAATGCTATTAATTTAAATTAAAACGATTAGTATTAACAGACGTGCTGTATCACTTTTTGCCACCGGCAAGAACACACCCTCTGCCAGGCCAAGCCTGGGCGTCTGGAGTTTGAATAAAACTGTACCAAGTGTCTGGGGCTTGTGTCTGCTTGGGTCAGTCCGATGAGTGTGGGGGCTGCTCGGATGGTGGGGAGAACAGGAATGGGGGTTCAGGGGGTTCAAACTCCACCCCCCCCAGTCCCCTCTGTCTCCTCCCCTCCTCCCCCCACCCCGGGAGTCCCTTCCAGAGAAAGAGAAGGTGTGCATGGACCTCGAAGGCAGATATTTCTAAGCAGATGGAGGGATGGAGAAGGAACAGCATCCAAGTCCCATCATGCACAGAGGAAGGCCACGCAGCCCCCGGTATAACATCTGGTCACTTTGGCTAGAGGAGAAACTTGGGGTCACGAGGTGAAGTAACCTGCGCAGGGCCAGCCGGCCAGCAAGGGAAGGGACAGCGTGGACCTGAAGCCACACCTGGCTGCCTCAGTGTGTGCTCTTGCTGGAACACCTGGAGTCCTGTAAGATAAGGGGCCGTTCCACAGACAATACCACTTCGTGCTGCTTTACAGTCTTCTCAGGAAGTCCCCGGATACAAGAGAATGGACTCACTGTTCCTTTCCGCTCAGCAGAGCAGCCTCCAGCTCCCTTTCCCTGCCCGCCTCAGAAGGGGCCTGGATATGACATTGTTGACAGGACCTAGAGCTGAGCCTGACGCACTGGGCTTCGCACACCCCAGGCACAGAAGAGTGTTCAAAAAGGAAACCCGGAGCCCTGGTCAGTTGCTCAGTGGTTAGAGCACAGGTCTGTTCAACAAAGGGTCCCAGGTTCAATTCCGGTCAAATACCCAGTAGGGAGTATACAGAAGGTAGCTGATTGATGTTTCTAACTCTCTATCCTTCTCCCTTCCTCTCTGTAAAAAATCAATAAAATATATATATTTTGTTAAATAAAAGCAAAAGGAAACTATCCTCAGGTGAGGATTAAAAAAAATTAAGGGAAACCAGGAGCCCTGGTTTCAGCGTCAGTGGTTAGAGCGTTGCCTGTGGACCAGGGGTTGCAGGTTCGATTCCCAGTTAAAGGCACATAGCTCTGTTGCAGGTTCCCTGGCCCCACTGGGGTCATGTGTGTGGGGGCAGCGGCCAATCAATGTGTCTCTCTCGTGTCGATGTTTCCCTCTCTCCTCGCTTCTCCCTCCCTTCCACTCTCTGAAAAATATCCTCTACTGAGGATTTAAAAAAAACGAGCAGTCTGGTCTGGCAGAGCCCTCCTCACCCTTGCAGGCACAGAGCACAGAGCCACATTCCTTTGGCAAATGATATGGGCCATGGAAGGAAGCCCATCCCATGAAAAGGCATCTGAGAACTGAGGCAGGGTTGTGCAGTGGTTAGCATCACACGTTGTACTATTGCCTTAACAGATAGAATGTGGCAGGAAAGGCCCTGCATGCCTTCTGAGGTTTAGGTTATAGGTACAGAGAGGCTCCCATTCTCTTAGGCAGAGATGAGCTTTCCCCATCTAGTGCCCAAGTTCAGATTTGTGAGCCAGATCAGTGCCATTGTGGGAAGCTACTAAGTTTTGTATCATTTTATGCAGCAATAGATAACCCAGAATGCGGACGAGGTAGGTCTGCCCTGCTGTTGTCAGCTCAGCAGGTCAGCAGCTGGTTGCTGCTTGCTGGTTGCTCAGGCGATCTCTTCGACTAGCACCAAAATCAAGGGAGGGGCTGCTGGGTGTGTGGGAGCACGCAGACCGGGAAGGGCTGCCAGGAACTTGACCAAAGATGACAGCTGTGCCTGGTCGGTGTGGCTCAGTGGTTGTGCGTTAACCTGTGAACCAGGAGGTCATGGTTCTATTCTCGGTCAGGGCACATGCCTGGATTGTAAACTTGATCTCCAGTGTGGGACATGTAGGAGGCAGCCAATCAGTGATTCTCTCTCATCATTGACGTTTCTATCTCTCCCTCTCCCTTCCTCTCTGAAATCAATAAAAATATTTAATAAGAAAAAGGACAGATGTGAACTCTGAGGCCTGGTGCCAGGCAGAGAGCAATCCGGTGTCCGTAAGCCCTGCTTGCTTTCCAGGGAGTGTTTACAGAGGACCAAGAGGGGCTTTGCTCCCTGAAAGCATGGGATAGGAGAGGAAGAAAGAAGGGGAGCAGCCGAAAGGGAGGGCATGGACTGGGGTGAGGGGCAACAGCTAAATCAGGTCTCATCTCCATCTGGCAAATGCCAGGGGCTGTCAGCCCATCCAGCGTCCACCTTCCCAGCTGGTTTAGGAACTGAACCAAGAGGAGGGGGTTCACCGAGAAGCTTGACCTTGAAGGCCCTTCACTGCCTGGCCATGGGTTTGCATGGGCATCGGTGTCTGTAACATTCAGTGAACGGCTTAACACGCCCGTCTCCTTCCCCTCCCTCCATCACGCTTCCTCCAGGCTCAGACAGTGCTGGAGAGCCACGTGCATTTTGGGGATCTGGCTAAGGGGAAGTAGAATTGGGCATCTATTGACTTGAAGTTTAGTGGGATATGTTAATGTGGTTCACAGCCATTTACATGAATAATTCAGTCCTGCTCAGCTTAGGAATGGCCTCCTGCCCACCATGCTGCCTCACCTGGCTCCAGGGACAAGATACAGGGCCAGAGCGGGTCCCACAGCGCCTGGTACCCAGAGTACCAGGTGGTGGAGAAGAAGCAGGCCAGCAGAAAGGCAGGACGATCTTTCTACTTTCTCTATAGAAAATGTGGCAAATCTTCATCACACGAAGGAGCAACCAAAAATGCTTATAAGCACCAGAAAATTAATCAATAAAAGATTTATTTTCCTGGATTCTATGATATTCTGGGTATTTGTCAACTGCTATGGTACAAAGTTCGTGTCCTCTTAAAATCCCCATAGCCCCCTTCTCCCATTATGGTCATGTCATAAATGATGTTAAGTTTGCTTTTTAAAATAAATGCAGGGGGGCCGGGGTGGTAGAAGAGGGTGAAGGGTGGGGGATGAGTGGTGATGGAAGGAGACTTGTCCTGGGGTGGTGAATGCACAATGCAGGATAGAGATGACATGTCACAGAATTGGACCTCTGGAACCTGAAAAACTTTATTGACCAGTGTCACCCCAACAAATTCAATCAAAAAGAAACATTCAGAAATGACATAGCTGATATTAACAAGCAAGGGCATTGAGAACAGTTACTGTGTGGAGAACTCTACTACTGGCAGCTGCTATGGTCTGAATGTTAGTGTCTTTTCAACATTCCTATGTTGAAACCCTATTGCCCAATGGGATGGGATTTGGAAGTGCCCTGTGGGAGGTGCTTAAATCCTAAAGCTGGAGCCTGGGATTAGTGCTCTTCTTAAAGAGATCTCACAGAGCTCCCTCACCCCATCCGCCATGTGAGAAATCTGCAGCTCTGAAGAGGGCCCTCACCCACCGTGCTGATGCCCCGACCTCAGATCCAGCCTCCATAGCTGTGGGAAATACATTTCTGTTGTCTATTAAAATAATAATAATAACAATAACAACAACAATAATAATAAAGTCGATATTATTTAAAGGGAATTGGGAAGTAAGGCCAGGCCCAGGCTAGTCACACTGGGACGAAAGGCAGAGGCAGCTATGCACTGGCTAACTGATGCCACAGTGATCCTTGCAGTGTTTGCCCCATGGGCTCCCCGGAGTGGAGTGTGAGCAAACGGTGATGCTGAGTGTGCTCGATCCAAGGGGCTGCATGCTCTCCCACTCCTGTTCCCGCCATCTATGGAAGGGATACCGCCGACCCTTCAAACTCACCCAAGGACCATGGCCCTCTCTGAGCCCCATCCTGGCCTCACCGCGCACAGGTAAGACATGGGAAAACACAGCCATGCTTCCCGGGGCGCTCCCTCCCTGCCAGACTTCGACTTCAGTGCCTCTGAGGCATGAGCATTAGTTCCTTTCACCCTCACAACCACCTTGAGACAAAGCTCGTGACTGGCTCCACCTCCCAGATAAGGAAACGGAGGCTTAGAGAATTAAAGCAGCTGACCTGGCTTCACCCAGCTGCTATGCCCAGGGGAAGGCACTTCCCTCTCAGCACATTAATGCGGTGAATAATTGTTATCACCACCAATCCCATTGACCTATGAAACTTTCGAGGGGAAAAACAACGTGGTCCCCAGAGCCACGCTCAGGGCGGGGCACAGCAAGGCCTCAGGAAACGCTGTAAATGAGCTGCTATCTGAGTTTCACTTCCCTGTCTTGTCGGAATCCTCCAGGCTCAGAGGTGGACTCACAGGCAGGCCTGGAAGGCGGGGCTGCCAGCGTGTAGGCCCTGGGCGAGGTTCTAGAACCCCGTCCATCTATTTCAGTAAAGCACGGCACTCTTTTTCTTAAAGATGCTCCCAAATTTGTCCTTTGGGTCCTCTCAAACCTACGTGAGGTGTTTGTTGAAAAGGCAGGTATCCTGAGCTGGCCTGCTTGGCATTAGTCTGCAGACTGAAGGGTCTCAGATTCTGGTCAAGGGCACATGCCCAGGCTGTGGACTAAATCCCAGTAGGGGGCGCGCAGGAGGCAGGCAGTCAATGATTCTCTGATCATTGATGTTTCTATCTTTCT